TCTAACCCATGTTCTACCCCGTTTACCCCCATCTAGCATTGTTTGGCCATGTTCTACCACGTTCACCCTCATCTACCCTAGTTAACCAATGTTCTACGCCGTTTACCCCCATCTACCGTTGTTTAGCCATGTTCTACCACGTTCACCCCCATCTACCCTAGGTAACCCATGTTCTACCCCGTTTACCCCCATCTACCCTTGTTTAGCCAAGTTCTACCACGTTCATCCCCACCTACCCTAAGTAACCCATGTTCTACCCCGTTTACTCCCATCTACCCTTGCTTAGCCATATTATACCAAGTTAACCCTCATCTACCCTACTTACCCCCATTGTGGATGAGCTAGGTATATTGCGAGTCGGAGGGCGATTGGACCGAGTAGAACTATCTTATGATGTAGCACACCCCATGATCTTGCCAAAGAAACATTACATTCCCAATTAATTGTTGCAGACGTCCATAACCGTTGGCGATATGCGGGCGTCAACCACGTGCTAGCTTAGGTACGAAACCGATATTGGGTCATAGATGGTCGACAAGAGGTGAAGAATTGGGACAAAGAATGTAAGGTGTGTGGGAGAAGACGTGTACAATCATTAGAGCAGATCATGGCACTGCTTCCAAGGACGAGAGTTGGAATAACGACGAGAGCGTTTGTAAAGTGTTGTATTGATTACGCTGGCGCCTTCACTACCAAGATTACTCGAAGAGTGTCTGCTAAAAGGTATTTGTGCCTGTTTACGTGCTCAGCAACCAGAGCGGTGTATCTAGAAATGGCATGTACATTGAGCACCACAGATTTCCTGAATGCCTTCAGCCAAATGATAGCCACCAGGGGAAGACCGGAAGAAGTTACAAGTGATAATGGGACAAACTTTGTAGGAGCGAAGAGAGAGCTCAGAGAACTTGTTCAAGCAATGGACCAGGTAGAGATCACGGGTAACGATGCCAATGATGGGATCAGATGAAATTGGAATCCTCCGCTGGGGTCGCACTTTGGAGGGGTCTTTGAGTCGCTGGTTAAAGTAGCTAAGAAAACTCTGAAAGCAATAGTTGGAAACTCTGGGCTAACCGACGACGAGCTGCAGACTGCTATCAAGAAAGTAGAAGCATTGATGAACTGGAGACCATTGATGTATGAAGGAGCTGACCCGCGAGACGAGCCAGTGTGGACACCTTACCACTTCTTAGTTGGGCAGCTAGGAGGACAACTAGCACCTGCAGTTATCGATGACATAGCATTTAATCTCAGGAACCGTTGGAGACTGATTCAGAACCTGGTGAGGGTGTTCTGGAAGCGCTGGAGAGAAGCGCATCTGTCAACACTTAACACGCGAAAGAAATGGAGTGAGGCCAAAGAAAATCTGAAGGTTGGGGATGTAGTGCTTGTTGTCCATCAGAATGCTCCACGTGGTCAGTGGCATTTGGGTCGAGTGGAAGAATTGTTTCCAGCTAAGGATGGACAGGTGTGCGTCGTCCAAGTGAGCACAAGAGGCCAGAAGTTTATACGCCCGATAACTAGACAATGCCCGTTGAACGTCGCAGGCCAGCCAGATTACGAACCCTAGAGAGAAGAGCTGAGGATCCGGAGCCGCTCTTCGGGGGAGAGGATAGACACGCGATTTCTCGTTCTTTGTCTTTTTTGTAAGCGCCAGGCGCCACCCCCGTGTGGGGGACTGGAACTAATATTAAAGGTTGTTGAAGTGGTTTACAACAACAATTTTATTGATTACAACAGTTACAATTACAATTTGAGAAGTGCCTACTCACAATTAGTTGAAAACTAGTCGAGGCGGGTAGGTATAATTAAGTTCGGCTTATCACTAGGTACTTACAAAGAGTTCGAATTAGCAGCAGTTCAGATTACATTAAGAAAACAGTAGTTCTAATTACAATAAATAGTGAATTAAAATAAAACTAGTAAATTAATTTAATGATACTAATAACAGGAAATCGCTGGTCGTAGCTAGAGGAAAATGTCTGTGTTTTAAACCAGGACCCTTATAGAATTTGCCCTGCCTAGGAATCTCCAACTTACGTCTTGTGTTGGCATTCGCTTGAGAAATCTGACCAAAAACAAGACAAAAGTCAGTGTCTGGTTTTGAAAAACAGGCTCACAATTTTTAACACTAAGTTACTGCTGTTCTAGTTCTGATCTACCGAATCTAAATTTTAGACACCCTTCTAAACATGGTTAACAAAGTAAAATGCCTGAGAAGTCAGGAATGTTTTGTTGTTACAACTATGTGGGATTTTGGTTTCCTGTAGGGAGGCAATTCATCATTTGGCCTAAATACACTATCTGTCCCAAGTCTCCAGGTCTTGAGTCTTGAAGTGAGTTTTAATTTCTTATTTTAGCTGTTTTCACTCACTCTTCGGAATCGCTTATTAGCCGCAGGCTTCAGATACAAAAAAAAAAAGTAACACATCTATTTTTGACACCAATATTCTTTATTACCTTTTCTTACTTAGTTTATAGATTGATTAAATTATCTTTGAAGTAAATTAGTTCACATTTCATGGTTAAAAGGTTTCAAAATACAAAACACGAACAAAATGTCATACATCTTCAGTACAAAAGGATATATGAAGACAATAATAAAACGTAAATTCATATCACTTCACCAATCAGGTGCAAGCTTAAAAATCAGGTAAAGTAATACAGCTATGATAGTCATCATCGACTAAATAAAAAAAGGGAAAAGTTGATGTTCCACATTTTTTACCTATCTAACCCAACTTTACCACTAGAAATAGATTCGAATTAGAAGTATAATTGGAAATTATGACAAAAGACATAGACCAGGAGCCATTGGTCTGGGGACCTCTCCTGACACCACAGATTGGCTCTCATAAGTACAATTGATTCTCAAATTGCACCTTTTTTGCTCTAAATTGCATCTTTACTTAAATACAACCACCAATTGTTTGTTTCAAGTAACCAACCAAACTGCAGGAAATTAACAAACAACTTTTGCAACTTTCTACAAACTAGCTCACTACTGGATCAACAAAACATTTATACAGACTAGAAAATCCCATATGTGAGCTAATTTATTTTTTTTTCGCAATTTCAAAATGGATGCAATTAAGTGGTAATTGAACTTTNAAGGCAATATCTAGTGACAGTAACTTGAGTGATGTTCACTTAGCAGTCTTGACAGAACATACCACTAAAAAATGAGCACTTTAATTCTCTTCATGAAAAAGATTATAAGGAAATCACGCTGATAATTCTTTCACATTCAGGTTTATGTAAATAACTTGTTCAAAACATTCTACCTTCACCTCGATTGACTTGTTGAAAACATTTACAATTTAACCTCAACACACGGTACAACCCTTTGTATTATCCTCTGCAAGAATATCAACAGTTATATTAGATGAATAATAAGTCTGAAATTATGAAAATTTGCAATAATTATTTACATGAACTGACCCACTGAAGCTTTAATGATTGAATATTACACCATAATGCACCATTTCCAATATTCTCTGCTACACTATTTACAATGTATTAGGTGAACAGTATTTTAAAATTTCAAATTAGGCAAATTCGTGATAAATATTTAAAACTAGATTCATTGACAGGTTGAATGTCATGAACTCTTGTCAAATCAAAATTGAAAGACTGGTGGATGGCCAAAAGTAGCTAAAATTGCAATAATTTTATATCAAAACTCTCCAATCATAACTAAGAGGTGAGTCCCATGAAATATTCGCATATTTTGTTTCTTTAACCTTTTCCAAGTGTTTAAGAAGTTTTCATATTATTGGAGATGGCAGTACACCAAACTTTGAATTAAAAAAATTATTTAAAAAATTTATTTCCTCGACAAATATCTTACATTGTTACTGCGTTTTGAGAACAACACTATGGATTCTTACCATTAGTCTGAACTGACCAGTTACAACAAACTTCTTTTATTAAGCAGACTGCTTTGCAAAAAGGTCTTCCAGCCTTTTCTTTCTTGTTCTAATTTACATCAGAGCACTGGAAACAGTTTATGAATTGAGTTCTCTGACTTAACAGTTCTGGGCCAGGTTGTTCGAAAGGGGGTTAACAGTAATCTAGGATTCAAGTTAACCTTGGCTTTAATTTCTTCTGTAGAAGAGCATATAAGAGTCTATAGGTTTTCCTTTAATATGACTTCAAACTAATGGGAAAAAAGACAAAAGAATCCCTTTGCAAAGCAATGAAACTTAACCAAAGATTTTCACTAACCCTGGGTTAGGTTAACCATGTTTTGAATAACCCAGCCCTTATGGATTTCTTGTTTGTCATCTGAGTTAGTAACTGACCCAAACTGTTGTTTCTCCTCTGGGTCACTAGCTGACCCAGACTCCTGCTCATCATCTGAGTCAATAACTAATCCAGACTCCTGATAATCCTCTGAGTCAATTATTGACCCAAATTTCAGCTTGTCGTCTGAGTTATGTGTTTGGCCATTCATCTTCAGGTTGTACGTTCCCATTCTTATCCTGTAACAAATCAAAACAACACTTGACATCACCTATCAGTCAACAAACACTAAACATCACTCAATGTTGAAGAAAGCAGAAATCCAACTTTTTATCCTGTTCCATTCTTTTTGTTTTCTATTTTTTTGTATTTTCTATTTTTTAAGTGTTTT